TTTGGGGTTTAGGGTTTACTAGGGTGGTGGGGTCTACAGCTGGGATTTGCAAGGGTAGGTTCCCGTATAAAGTACCCAACCCCAAAAAGGGTACCCTCTGGGCTACCAGGTTTGCAAGAAGTTGCCAAGGCTGCCATGGGTTTGAAAAGACTGCTACGTAGGCCTCAATGCTTTCACCCGACAAGCCCCAAAGCCTCTGGAAACCCTAAACCCTAAACCCTAAACCCTAAACCCTAAACCCTAAACCCTAAACCCTAAACCCTAAACCCTAAACCCTAAACCCTAAACCCTAAACCCTAAACCCTAAACCCTAAACCTGCAGCACGGAGCCCGCAAAACACCCTGGCCCTGGCGGCAGAGCTTCGGTGGGAGTGGATTTGAGGATTCGGGGCAATGGACCAGCATGGGCTCTTAGGCCTTATCATCCCCCTAACCAACCCTATAAAGGGTTTAGGGTTTTAGGGTTTAGGGTTTAGGGTTTAGGGTTTTCGGGCTTATAGGGTATAATAGCCCATGCAGGGATTGGGGTTGAAGGGAGTCTTAGACGCCACCCAAAACCCCACTAAGTGGAAGCTCCAGCTTTTTGCAGTCGCTGGGCATGGTCAAAGAAGTCAAGCGCGAGCCGTTCGAGGAGCGACAGGCGCGGTCTGGGGCTGCGGGTTCTTAGTAGGGAATGACGGAATGAGTGCCCTATATAATCCCTTAAAGGGTGTATATCTAATTCCCTCATTCCCTGCTAAGAACGATGCGGGGTTTCGGGTTGCGCCGTGAAAGGTTTGGTTCAGGGTCTATGGAGTTGCGCATGGTTTCGGGTGCAGGCTTTAGGGTTTAGGGTTTTGGGTTTAGGGTGTAGGGTTTAGGAGGGTTTAAGGCTAGGCAGGCCCTGGGGGGTAGTTCATTTTGTTCCCTTGGTTGGGTGTGAGAGGATCATGTATAGGAATACCCCTAGGCCCTAAACCCTACACCCTAAATCCTTTGCTTTTCAGAGAGTTTTACGGGCCAAACTAGAAAAGGTTTCGGAGCTGAGAACGTAGGGTTCATTCTTTTTTAGGATCCCTAAAGCCGAAACGCCTAGCCCTAACCCTGAACCCTCAACCCGAAACCCTAGCTTGTACGGATTGGGTTGACCGGCTTCAACGTGTTTTTAACAAGGCTTAGGGGGTTGGGTTTCGGGTTTAGGGGTTTGGGGTTTCGGGGTCAAGGGTTTAGGATTCAGGGGTTTAGGATTCAGGGGTTTAGGGTTCAGGGTTTTCCCCTGCAGGGTTCCTGGAAGACGAATTCAGAGGTTCTGGCTTAGGGGAAGAATTCGGATGAATTTCAAAGGCTCCGTACGAAACTGAAGCAAGCTGTCCCCAACCCTAAACCCTAAACCTTAACCCTAAACCCTAAACACCTTAGTTCAACTTGAAGCCCACTGCATGCCTTCACCCGCAAGACCTGATCGCTTGAGCTCCACAGGCAATCGTTTAGGATTGAGGACTTAGGGTTGAAGGTTGGCCAACCCTACACTTCAAAGTCCTGGACTCTACACCCCCAAGGCCGAAAACCAATTTATGATTTTAAACCTTCTCCGCCCCAAACCCTAAAACTCAAACCCTGCCTTCAGACTGTTTGGGTCTTCGTCAACGGTGATGTGCAGCCGCGTCGGGCGACAGTTCTCGAGGACAGATTGTGCGGGTTTACGAACATAGGGGACCCGTAAAATAGACCCCGAATAGTAGGATTCCCTTACAGTAAGAACCCCAAATAAGGTACCCCTACTTTCGGAAACCCTCAGGTGGGGGGGGGGGGGGGATTGTGATTGTAGGGATGGTTTAGTAGGGTTTAAGTTCCTTGAGGCTCAGAGAGCTTCGTAGACAGGATATACATCACACCCCGACTTGGGTGCGCACGTACTTGGACCTACCTACGTATAGGTTCTCGTGGGCCAAACCCTAAACCCTAATGTGGGACCCTCTTTAATGTGGCGCCCCCCCCCCCCCCCCCCCGAACAGTCGAGGCGTGGATGGGGTCCTGATTAGACGGCCCCGGAGGTTTATATGATTTTAATAGGGAGGAGTTTTATAAATCTCGAAGGGATCCATATGAATTTAAAAGGGATGAGCTTACATGAATTTAAAGAGGGAGCCGCGCGAATCGAAAAGGTGTCTGGGATGAGTTATATAAATTTAAAAGGGATCCATAGGCTTTTTTTCAGTTTCGGAGCCTCCGGGCCGGGGCCTGGACATTAAAGAGGGTCCCGAATCAGTGGGTCGGAGGGGCCCCTGGACCACCCCCTTGTCGGATTGAACGAAACCAGTTTTTTCAAATGGTTTCTTAAAGGAAATTAAGGGTTTCGGGCCGGTTGGAATGGATGAGGCCGGCCTTGAAAGTCACAAGGTCCGGCCTTAAAATCATAAGGCGAGCCTCCGGGCCGAAACAAGCCCCAAATCCTTACAACAAAGCAGGATTTCGGGAACCGTTTGACTTTAAAGAGGGACCCGCAACAGTCAGGGTGTCCTGAAATTCGGTCAAAGTGACTTTAAAGAGGAGGCCCCTACTAAACCGGGTCCAACATTAAACCCTAAACCCTAAACCCTAAACCCTAAACCCTAAACCCTAAACCCTGAACCCTGAACCCTGAACCCTGAACCCTAAACCCAAAACCCTAAACCCTGCTTGCTAGGTTTGGGGAGGGGGGGGGGGGAGGGTTTCGGGTGAATTGTCTAGGGTGAGACGTGCAGCGCCACGACGTGCAATTCTGGAGAGCTTAGCCAAAATAGCCCTGTGGGGGTTAGGGTTGAGGGTTTAGGGTTTAGGGTTTAGGGCTAGGGTTGAGGGTTGAGGGTTGAGGGTTGAGGGTTGAGGGTTGAGGGTTGAGGGTTGAGGGTTGAGGGTTGAGGGTTGAGGGTTGAGGGTTGAGGGTTGAGGGTTGAGGGTTGAGGGTTGAGGGTTTAGGGTAAGGGGGAAACCCGGGACGCGAAAAACATGAATGGGTGGCATTTTCCGGAAGAGCCAGCTGTAAGCCCACCCGTTTTCAGAACAGAAGACTGTAAGTCTTCAAAACCCTCAAGGCCCAACCGAAACCTTAGACTTTAAACTTTAAACCCTAAACCCTAAACCCTGAACCCTCAACCCTCAACCCTCAACCCTAAACCCTAATCCCTCCTACACAATTCGAAGCCGGGAGGACACACCCGAGGAAGCGGATGAGGTCCTCCTGGAGCTCTCAGCTTAGCGAAAGCCATTTTTGGGATTTAGGGATTAGGCCCCAAAACCCTAAACCCTAAACCCCAAACCCCAAACCCAAAACCCTAAACCCCAAACCCTAAACCCTAAACCTTAGGTGCGAGGGTGGTGGTAACCGGTAAGCCGAAGTTCGGTCGATCTCACAGTTAAGGGCTCAGGGCACTAAGCGTGTTTCAGAGAGAGAGAGAGAGAGAGAGAGAGAGAGAGAGAGAGAGAGAGAGAGAGAGAGACGGGGGGGGGGGGGGGGGGCGCCAGAAGCCTAAACCCTAACCTCTCTGTCCAGTCCCCAGACCTACCTTCGCATACAAACACCTCTGAATTTTGGTGGGTACTGGGTATTGCGTTTATGGCTTTTGGGCTCGGAAGCCCAAAAGCCCAACAAATCCTTCCATCCCAACTGTCTGAAGCCACCCTATTGACCCTACCCTATTCAGGCCTCTTCCTGCGCCCCATAACAACCCTTACACCCTACCCCAAAGGAACCCACCCCCCAAGCCTATCCCTCAGAAGCCTCAAAACAAACAACCCAGGAATCCCTGCAGAATCATAACCCTAGATAAACCTAGAAAAAAGCCTCCAAAACCCCACAGAAACCCTAAACCCTAAACCCCTAAACTAAACCCCGAAATCCTAACCCACCTCTCCCACCCCCCCAAAAAATTATATATATATATATATATACATATTATAAAAAAAAAAACAATCAAGCTGGGCCCAGGTTCTGGGACGGGGATGACCCGCCCGAGCGTGTGGAACGCTGCCTGGTCCGGGCGATGTGGCAGGGCTCCCCGGGATTCGGGTTCAGGGTTCAGGGTTTTTGGGTTCTGGGTTTTTGGGTTCAGGGTTCAGGGTTCAGGGTTCAGGGTTCAGGGTTTAGGGTTTAGGGTTTAGGGTTTAGGGTTTAGGGTTAGGGTTGTTCAGGGTTTGGGTTGTTTGGGTTTATGGTTTAGGAAAAGTTTAGGGTTTAGCCCCTATTGAGACTTAGAAGTTTGGGGCTCTGGGGGTTTTGGGCTCACATCCACGTCAGGGCTTCTAGTGTTTGGGGAGACGTTGGGTTTAAGTTTAAGGTTTAGGACGTACAGATTTCAGGGCTTTTGGTGTTTAGGGTGCTCACTTATTTTTCATTTCTGGTTTCCGTGTCTTATACTTGTAGGGCTTATGAGGTTCAGGTTGTTTTGTGGGTTTAAGGATTTTCTGGTTTAGGGGGGTTATTGCCGGGACCCCCCCCCCCCTTGATTATTGAAGCTGCTGGGTTCCTGCATCAACCCCATTGCGCCCATGGCACAAAAGAGGTACCCATTCATTCCTGGGTTATCGGTGGACCTAGTTTTTGGCATCATTTATCGGCGTCGTTAGTGTGTAATTAGGGTTTAGAGTTGAGGGTCCAGAGATTGAAGGTCAATCAGGGTTTAGGCTTCCTAAACCCTAAACCCTACACCCTAAACCCCATATTCCCCCCGGCTGCTTGGGCTTACAGCGAGCAGAGTGGCGCGATTGAAACGTGCTGAACCAGCAGTTCTGGACTCCAGCTCGTCGAGTTCCGCGCGCCCACGAACCAGGGTCTAGGGTTTACGGTTCGGGTTTAGGGTTTAGGGTTTAGGGTTTAGGGTTTAGAGTTTAGGGTTTAGGGTTTAGGATTTAGGGTTTAGGGTCTTGGGTTTTGGGTTTAGGGTTTAGGGTTTTGGGTTTACAGAGGCTTCCGTGCTGCCACACGGGGCTCATGCCCGCGCGGTGGAGGACGTCGACGTCTGAGCACGTGACGAATCTGCGACATGTCCCAGGAGGTCGACTTCATCGTGATCCCAGTCCATGAACTCTCAATGGAACAGCAGACCAGGATCAATGAAGCTCGCGAAAGTGTATTCGGCAAAGACGCAGGAATCGCCGATTTTCATGCTCACTTCGGTGCCGGTGCGATGTGTTTGCTGCTCGGGTCGTCTCCGGAGCCAGCCCCTGCCGGCGCGTCTGTGGTAAACTGGCGTGCGTTTTGCATCGTCCGTGAGATGCCCCCGATTCGTGTTCAAAGCGACGAGTTTCCTTGTGTGGGCGTGTGTTCGGTCATCTCGCTGGTTCCGGGACAGGGCTATGGGAAGCAACTGATGACGATGGTCCGCGACTTCGTTTCACACAGATACCCCCTCCACCAAGCGCTGGGATTCACCGGAGCCACCAACTTCTTCAAACAATGTGAGGCTTGGTAGCCCGTGGTACCTTTTCCCGCCTGTTTGGTTCTGGGTTCCCTTGTACCTCAACCAACCCAAAAAAGCGTGCCCTGATTGTAACTTGGTTTCTGGGCTACCCTAAACCCGAAACCCTAAACCCTAAACCCTAAACCCTACCAAGGACGGTTGGCAGGTTGCACCTGGACTTATCTCTCGGTTTGTCTTCGTCCATCCCGAAACGCTCGAGCCCGAGCTCGACGACGATGGCGATGCCTTCTTCCTGGCACTTCCGCACGGCGGAGGCTAGGTAGGCGGTTGAGTTTGGTTTTTTGTTTTTTGTTTTTCTTTCTTCATTGTTTTCCATATTTTCCCCTATTGTTGGTTTAGGGTTTATAGGGTTATAGGGTTATAGGGTTATAGGGTTATAGGGTTATAGGGTTATAGGGTTATAGGGTTATAGGGTTTAGGGTTTAGGGTTTAGGGTTTAGGGTTCTAGGCTTTCAGGAATATTTTTCAAGAGGGTTTTTAAGAGCCATCCCAGGAGGGAATCGACTCATCGAAGCTGTGGAAGCGATTCCGGCTCCCCTCGACCTCGAGCGCCGGGCCGTCATCCGGATCCCTTTTTGGTGACGTTTGCGCGTCGCGGGGGAGCTGGAGATGCCGTAGTAGGGACACCGGCTTGCTTCATCGACCTGGAGGGTTTAGGGTTTAGGGTTTATGGGTTCAGGGTTTAGGGTTTAGGGTTTTATTAGGGTTCAGGGTTTAGGGTTTAATTAGGGTTTAGGGTTTAGGGACCAATCAGCATGATGGTGGTGGAGCGGCGAGGTACGGCACGCCGAGCGGATGAAGTGGATGGAATGCAACCCTAAACCCTGTAAACCCTAAACCCTAAACCCTATAAACCCTAAGCCCTAAACCCAGCATGGAGACCAGAGTCCTTGACCGGGCATTTTGGACCCTCAACCCCAAACCCTAAACCCCCAAGCCCTAATCCCTAAGCAAACCCTAAACCCTAAACCCTAAACCCTAAACCCTAAACCCTAAACCCTAAACCCTAAACCCTAAACCCTAAACCCTAAACCGACGGCCTCCTGGCGCGTACTGCAAGCAACTCTAGGTCCCTTTCTCAAAGAAGGACGGCCAGCACATAGTCTGGATGACAAGCCTAGAATCATAGCCCTAAACCCAGGGTTTAGGGTTCAGGGTTAGGGTTTAGGGTTTAGGGTTTAGGGTTTAGGGTTTAGGCTTTAGGGTTTAGGGTTTAGGGTTGCGCCCGAAACCCACACGTTCCACTCCCCAAGAAGCCCTCCGACTCCCCCGATAGGAGGTCGGCTTTGGTTCTTGTCACGTTCTTGTCTTCACTAGACGCAAGAGTAACCTAGGAATACAAAGGGCGCCCTTTTTGGTTTAAAGGGGCTTCTACGGGAACCTCAGCCCCAAAAAAAGCGGAATAAGGGCCTACCCTAAACCCTAAACCCTAAACCCTAAACCCTAAACCCTAAACCCTAAACCCTAAACCCTAAACCCTAAACCCTAAACCCTAAACCCCAGCGCGGCAAGATGCAAGTCCTTTGCTGATGGGCTGGGGCTTCATTTCTCTCATGGGTTTCCCTCCTACCCTCCTCTATTCCCTAGGTCCCCCTCATAAGGCTAGTGTGGGATAACTAAGCCTAATTAAGGGTATTAAAGGGGGAACCTAGGGGAGGGGGGGGGGAGTAGGGAAATCCATGATTCTTTAACGCCCAACGACAAACGCAATCGCACGGTTATAGTTTCCCGTGTGAACCCTGACGTGGCCCCTGCAGCTTTGGATTCTCAGTACAAGATGCGAGCAGCCACTTCCACCCTCAACCCGAAACCCCAACGATTGCACAATTGTTGCACACCTGGGTCCTAACCCTCCCTCTAAACCCTCTAAACCCTCTAAACCCCGTAAACCCTCTAAACCAAAGACCCCAAACCCTAAACCTATCCTAAAACCTAAACCCTAAACCCTAAACCCTAAACCTAAACCAAGGTCCTAGCCCGGTTTGCCGGCCTGGCAACTGTGCGGCGTGGCGAGGTCCGAGTCTCGGACACACCCGGGTCCTGGCATTCTTTCTCGTTGGCCCACTCAACAACCGCATAACCCTTTTAGGGTTTAGGGTCTAGGGTTTAGGGTTTAGGGTTTAGGGTTTAGGGTTTAGAGTTTAAGGTTTAGGGTTTAGGGTTTTAGGCTTTATACTTAGGGTAAGCTTGAAGAAGGGCTACGCTGAGCTTACCCGGAAGACGGCTCCAGCCTTACCAAGGCCTGCATGTACCCTAGACCCTAAACCATGAACCCTTCAACCCAAAAGCCAGCAAAAGAGGCCCCCGGAAGCGTACCCACACTCAGCACCTGCCCAATTCCGTCCGAAGACCCAGAAACCACCACCCTCTAGTTGGGTGGCTACGCAAGTCGGTACTATGTGGGGATACTTTACTGCCTACTAGGTCCACCGAAACCACCAGTAGACCCTGAACACCTAAACCCTCAAAGTCTAACCTTTACATGTCCCTCAAAAAGCCCTAAGCCCCCCACAAAGTGTGGATTCAAACCCTGAACACCCTAAACCTTAAACCCTAAATCCCAACAAAACCCAGGGTGTGGCATGCCTTAACGCCCTTTTCGAGGCGTGGCTTGCATGGGAGTTGCGAGTTACGGAGGGCTTGGAGGTTTTCAGAATCTTCACCCCAAGCCCTAAACCCTAAACCCTAAACCCGGAAGACTAAGTAACTTCCTTAAACCTTAAACCTTACACCCCAGCACTTCACAAGCCTGTTCGGCATTGGCCCTTTTGGGGTTCTGGGCTCTCCTGAACCCTAAACCCCAAACCCTAAACCCTAAACCCGAAACCCGAAACCCTAAACCCTAAACCCTAAACCCTGCCCTATACCCTCTCCCTTGTTGTAAAACCTAAAGTCGGCGACCACCAACAAGGGGGTTTAAGTCGAGCCCTACCACCCGATGCGCTAAACCCTAGACCCGAAACCCTTGGCACTCCTTGGCTGGGCCTTCGTGTTCTGGGTTTTGGAGTACTGTACTTTAATACTTTTTTTGGTTCTTGGTTCCTATTATAGCTACTTATACCTGAAAAGTATATATTTTTTTCCAGGGTCTACTCCAAAGGTAGGTGTTTAAGAAGGGTCATGGGGCTACAAGCCAGGCCCGGAGGATGGAGTCTCCTAAGTTTGGGGTTTAGAGTTTGGGGTTTAGGGTTTGGGGGTTTACGGTTGAGGGTTTAAGGATTTAGGGTTTGGGGTTTAGGGGTTTAGTGTCCAGAGTTTGGGGGTTTTAGCATTGAGGGGTCGGCCGACTGACCCGGGTTCTAACATTCTTTGTTCATACATTACCAGAAGCTTGAGTCCGCCCTGAGGGATTTCGAGTTCGGGAAGGATGTTTCTGAGTACCCTGAACCCTAAACCGTACCCTAAACCCTACACCCTAAACCCTAAACCCTATACCCTAAAACCTAAACCCTGAGGCTTTGGTATAGTTTCCTTCGCCCTGAGTCGTTTGGACGGGCGCGCAGGCGTCCACGGCGCTTTTCCCGCTGAGAGACTTTTTCCCGCCGACCTCCAAGCGCCCGGCAACGTGGCCCGTTGACATAGAAACCCTAACCCCAAACCCTAAACCCTAAAAACAACTGGCTGCTGTCTGCTGTTCATCGTGTTCGGGTTTTTGGGGGGGGTGTCGGGCAGTGTAGGGTGTTTATGCTTTTTTGGGAACATATAAGCAGAACATAGATTCATGCGTCGGATCATCGACTCGATATATGTGTATACGTACATCCTGGCAGCTCTTGTAGGTAGCACGAATTCTTGAAACCTTGAATTTTAAGCTTCTAAGTCCGAAATGCCTTCTGTCGCCAGCATCAAGCCTTCAATTGGCGCTGCCTGGGGGTTGGAGGCATCCGCAGCATAGACGAACGTGCACGCTGCCGCGGGGAATTGGAGTTGAGGTGTGCAAAGGATGGTAGGTATTCAAAATGCTTTAAACCTTAACCCCTAAGCCTTGTCCCCTCAAAAGGCATAGGTTCACTTCCTTTGCAAGGGCTCCTGTTATTTTAGGGCTCTTGTCCCCAATGGTGGATCCCTTTAGAGGACCTAGAAGAACCCTTCCCTTTGTCTGTCGTGTTTGTGGTTAAGGGCTTACGATTCAGGGTTCCTGGGAGCCTGGGAGCCGGATTAGGCTCTCATTCCCTTTGTTCGGGTTTAGGTTCCCGTTTTAGCCCCCTTTAAACCAAAAAGGGCACCTTTTATGGTCCTGGGTTTGTCCCTGGTCACCCTAAAACCGAACCCTAAACCCTAAGCCCTAAACCCTAAACCCTAAACCCTAAGCAGGTTCAAGGTTAGGGTTGCATGTCAACTGCAAGTTTGCAAAGGAGTGTCAGGGCTAAATGCTTTCGAAGGGTTGGAGTTTTAGGGTTTAGGGCTTGGGGATTAGGGTTTAGGATTTAGGGTTCAGGGTTGAGGGGTAGATTTATGGGCCCTTCATGTGGTCCCTTAACTCCTTTAAAGGATTGTGAAGTATGGGCCCTTAATTTCTATAGGGTATATAGGGGCATGTAAGGGGTCCCCTTTTAAGGGCCCTAGACCCTAAAACCCCAAACTAAGGGGCCATGAAACTACCCTAAGAAACCAGTGGTAGCGTGCCAATACCAGGCTTGCAACGTCTATATGTGCTATGCGAGCTTCTCAGAGAAGAGGCGGAACCCTGAACCCCAAAGCCCTAAAACCCCCAACCCCCCTAAAAACTTTTCATCCATCCCCATAGACCCTAACATGTGCCCTAAACCTAAACCCTAAACTTATAAGCCCCAAGCCCCAAGCCCCAAACCCCAAACCCCAAACCCTAAACCCGCCTAAACCCGACGGTTCCACCGCAAGCAAATGAAACGAAACTACTAGAAGGATCGGAATAGTTACGAATAGTATTCCCTTAAGGTCCCTTTATAATTATGCTGTAATAACCCCCTCAAAACCCTTCAGGCCCCTATATTACTTGCCCTAAACCCTAAACCCTGAAACCTAAACTTAAACCCTATTCCAATTATTCAGGCCCCATTGTGTGCATGCTGTACCCGGACTCCCACTCCTCCACCTTGAGGGACTAAGTGTTGGTTCTACGTCGGCAATACTGCAATAGTAACATATGTATGTATATATATATATATGTATTACATATACACACATATATGTGTAGTAAACATCATAAGCACAGCAATAGTAGTAGTAAAAGTAACAAGAACAAGAATCAGAACACGAGTAGTATATATGTAGGTACCTGTTCTTCTTGCAGGTTTAGGAGGTATGTAAGGTGTGTGAGGGTTGTACGGTAGGACTGGCTAGCAGGATTAAGGTTCCCTTCGAATCGCCCCTCCTGCTGAGCCATTTGTGTCGGTTTAGGGTTTAGGGTTTAGGGTTTAGGGTTTAGGGTTTAGGGTTTAGGGTTTAGGGTTTAGGGTTTAGGGTTTAGGGTTTAGGGTTTAGGGTTTAGGGTTTAGGGTTTAGGGTTTAGGGCCTCAGGGCTTAGGGAGTTTGAGGTGCGAAAGTGTTGGCTGGTTTCATGGCTTGAGAGTTTTTCCACTCCGCACATCCTTGCGGTTCTA